ACCAATAGGTACTTCTAGTTCCACTCGACCGCTCACATCAGGATCCACAACCACACCGTTGAAAATCTCGAACGCGACAACCGCGCGTCCGTCATCATCAAGCATATCATCTACATACCAATCAACGGCTATGCCTAGTTCCACTCGGCCGCTGATCGCGGGATCGACAAGTATACAGTCATTAGTTTCAAATGTCACAACTATCCGCCAATCATCCTCAAGTCTATCATCTGCAAAGCCATCCACTACGACTCTGAATTCCACTCGACCGCTTACATCAGGAGTCACAACCACACCGTTGAAAATCTCGAACACGACAACTACGCGTCCGTCATCATCAAGTATATCATCTACACAGCATTCAACGGCTATGTCTAATTTCACTCGATCGCTGATCTTGGGATCGACAAGCACAAAGTCACTAGTTTCAAATGCCACAACTATCCGCCAATCATCGTCAAGCTTATCATCCGCACAGCCATCAACTACAACTCTGAATTTCACTCGATTGCTTGCATTAGGATCCACAACCACACCATCAAAAATTTCAAACACAACAACTACCCGCTCACCATCGTTAAGCATATCATCCATGCAACTGTTAGCTGGAATTTCGACATCTTCTGTGCGGCAATTGTTGGCATCGGCGACCGCAGCGATGACATCTGGAATGCCAACAGCTACTGGGCGAACAGGATGATGTCACCTGTAGGGACCCCTAGTTTACGTTAGGCAGCTGCAATCGTACTCTCGACATCTTTGGTTACTGAACGCATGTCAGCATTGAGCTAGACACTTTTTGCAAGATAATTTTTATTATGAATAAATTTTTCTTGTACCCAGGACATTTGTGGCTTTAGGCTCGTGTTTTTCATTCAAAGACGGTGTTCATGTCTAAAGGTATTCTTTGGTGTTGTTTCCACAAACTTTATGAATTATAGAGCATTCGTGAACTTCTAATTTTGTGACATCATTGTTATTCCTCTCAGGAAGGAGAATGACCGCTATTGTTACAGGCCTTAATATGGAATGCAAGAGTTTTGTCATTTTGAACGACTTCATTTATTAGGCTTGTCTATGTTATAGTAACTGAATAATGGAGACAAATGTGGTACAGAGGTTTGGGCTGTATCCGTTGGTCACCTCTGGTCTTACTGTCAGTCGAGATGTCGCAAACATGCTTGAAGATTTTTGTCATGGTCGTGCATGTCATTTAGATAACAGCGCGAGTAGCTGAAACGAATGTTGCTGACTTGACGACTTCAAGTGCATGAAGAATCGAGAAATGGATCTAAGAAATACAAAATTTTGATCTTCAATAATTTGAAATGACGCGTGAACCTAGCATACGCAGAATCTAAGGGAACTGAATGTTCAGATTTCACGTTTTTTGTTTCAATACTCTTTAACATTTGAATGAAATTTGCGGATGTACGTATGGGTGTGCGATATATCTATCGCTTCAAGTAGCATTTTTTCTTACTTTTGTCGTGAATTCTATTCACTAACTAGTCTCCTGAGGGTATGGATGTTGAGTGTAGATAGATGGGATGTGTGTGCGGGATGGTTATGAATGAAAAGAAACTGTACATCTGTACGTCCAAAACCCTCAAACATCTACCCAATCTTAATCTTACTTCTAGATGACATTGATTACACAGCACATATATCGGTAAATATTTTCGTGAGTTCATGTCCAATAAGAGCCAAACATTTGTGATAATGGTGACCTAGTTTCAAGGGCAAATATGAGACTTCGGTACTCCGAAATACGAATGAAGTACGGCACTTCACTCGTACTTCAGAGTACTGAAGTCTGTTTTTTTCCCTAGTCTAGTCTACATTGTGTATGATTAAAATTTCAGCTCGAATAAAAGTTGCAGAGCAGAGAAATTAAACATTTATTGACAGAATAGTGTCCTTCAAGATAGCTTAAGAATTCGATATTGCTGCTCTAGAGGCCAACGCGCACAGATCTGTTAAGAGAAGGTCCGCTAGAATACCGGCTAAGCTCACATAGGACTGGCCGCCGCTAAAACTTGTTTTGAGATTATTTTCAAACAAACAAAAGATCATATGGAGAGACGCATAAATCCAAAATATCAAGGTTTTCTAACGTACCTATGGAAAATGCTGAAGGTCACAATCTTCGATCTTTTTGTGGTTACACTATAAAAATTTTAAAAAGTGGATTTTTTAAAATTTTGATCAGTTTTTTAGATTTTCTCTGCCGCTGTTTATCGCTATAAGTCGGGAGAGGTCTCAAAAGACGCAGAAAGGAGTTTTTTTACAAAATGGACTCTTTTAGCAATGCCCGTTTCACAATAACAGAATGGTGGTTGTTTTTCAAATAGCTCTTCAACAAAAAGAGTTATCGATCTGTGGTTTTCACCATTAGAGAGAGGCTAATATTTCATATCTTTCTATATACTAGTTAACCAAACTAGCTCATAAATTTGAAGAACAGTCAGTGAAATTTCAAGAAGCAATTAAAGTGTCTTGAAAAATGTATATTATTTCAATTATAAGGAGTGGGTTAAATTCGCCTACTTAAGATCTACAACTCTATGTAAACCCGAAAATTTTATTTTATATCATTCAAAAGATATACACCCAACACTGATCGTCAAAAATGCTGGAAACTACCTTTGTGACTATTTTTTCAAATATTCTTAATTTTCGTGTTTATTAATTAATAGTTAGGTTTCGATCATTCTGAAGAGATATTCAACATATACGAGTATGTTGTATCAGTATAGTTTGCGATGAGGATACTCAATATGTGACGTAATATGATTGTCACTGGTTTTACATGACAAAGAACGATTTCCTTCTAATATGAACAGTTTCGTATAATTGAGAATGATCGAAAACTAACTGCTAATTAATAAACACAAAAATTAAAAAAACTTTAAAAAAAGTAGTCAGAAAAGGTTATTTCCAGTATTTTTGACAATCAGTGTTGGGTGTATATTTTCTGAATGACATAAAATAAAAATTTCGGGTTTATATAGGGTTGTAGATCTTGAGTAGACGAATCTAACCCACTTCTTATAATTGAAACTCTATACATTTTTCAAAGCACTTTAATTGCTTCCTGGAATTTCGCTGACTGCTCATCAAATTTATGAGCCAGTTTTGTTAACCACTGATCATGAGTATTTTTGTTATCTAATCTATTTTGATGGTTGATCTATTTCCATTCAAGCTCAGATCCGTTCCACTTTTCGCACTGGAAGTGACATTTTCTGTCAAAAGAAAAAACATTGTATTGTGCGAATATCCTCAAGTCAAAATGAGTGTTCCATGCTCATCATAATAATATTTGAAAATTCTTTCGGTAGTAATAGATAAAGCATCTTTGCTATCATGCTTATCGAAGTCTTTTATGTAGACTAATTCTTAGTGTGCAGGTGTACGCTTGTATGTGTCGAGAAGACCTTCAGCCTTACACCCGAACCAGCACTCACATCTTTTTTCTGAACTATTATGAGCCAGCTGTGAGAAACTGTCGATGATTAAGAGTTTTCAATTCATTCTTTCAATGCAAAAAGTATAAGAAATGATTCTCTTCAGTTAAGAAAGTTATGTCAACCACTAGCATTATGCAATTATGAAAATATCTACAGATTAAGAAATCTCAAAATATAAAGTCTAGTATAAAACCGTATTCTATACCTCATTTTATCTTCCTATCGGCAATAGTATCCTTTTCCGAATAGAGAAGCCTTCGATTGTGTTCAGTAATGATTGTAGATGGGAAAAAAACCAAACTTCTTTATTCATGTAAAGAAATTATTTCTTTACCGGACAAATTCAGGCAAAATCAACCATAGAGGTTGTTCGATATCAGTTCTTGCGTTTTTATCGTATGAAAAAGTTTGCAAGAGTTCTTCCATCGTTCTTAGTATTAGCGTACATACAACATGACAGACTAAAATAGGAATTACTGTTAGAAACGAAAAGAGTTATAAGAGTTTCACATTGTATGTCCTCATGAGACTGTAACTATAAACTTTTCTCGACAGAGCCAATTGGCTAATTGATGTATTAAAGCAAATGATTTTTTGCTTGTTCTATTTTGTACTTGAACCGACCGATTTGGTTGCTGATTAAGTCAAAAGTTTCAACCGATCGGAAAAAATTCTATCGATATATGAGACAGTAAAAATCTGAAAAGAAACCAGCAATGGGAACCAGAAGATAATCACCAGGAAAACTTACATGATCAGACCAAGAAACTCCACGAGGACCGTGTGAATATTAACAATTTCCTGAAAAGACTGACTGATTTCAAAAGCGAAGATTTCGATGCATCATTCCACGACAAAAGCTCAATTATAATTTTTCTACTAAATCCTTTTCAATGCAATCGTTTAAATGTAATACAAATCATATTCCTCCATTTGTAATAAAAAAATCTGATTTGCATAATATTTCGACCATTTCATTTAAAACAATTGCAAATCACATCTGAGTGGATTTACGTCTTAATTCTCATGATAATGTTTTACATCGTAAACTTGTGTGATGTAATTTTCCACACATCCTGATAGCATACGAAGAGAGACGCGCTCCATCACAAGAAATCTATTAAAAATGATCGTAAGAGAAGCGCTGTAAGAGGTACGAACGTCATAAGAGATTATCGTCCTTGTGAGCAGACCAATCCGACATCCTGGAATAGGTAATTAGTCAAATAGTTGATTGAGATTTGAATCTTTCTCTATCAACTCGTAAAATTGAATATTCAAAGTAAAAATGTGTCTATTGATTATATCATAGAAAACGAGATAATTATTATTACATTATTCGTGTTAGATCTTTTCCAGTTTGATCAAGATTTATCTATAATAAAAGTTTTCGGTGATAAATTGAGACTGAGCTGATAATATTCGCAAATAAATAATTTTGCTTTTAATTTTAAAAATGAACAGAAAGATTTTATTAGAAAGAAAATTTTAAACAATTTACAGTAGGAAACAAACAAACTTGAAAAGTTTAATTTAATGGAACAACAAAAACATATTACACGCGGAAATACAATGAACGGCTGAAATAAAAGAAAAAAAACCGAGTCTTATTATTTATTGATTTTTTTTATTGTCATCATCATTTGAAACAACACCTTCATCAACCTCTGTTGGATTTCCTGTTGAATCATTTTTATTATTTGATTCTTCTTTCGAATTTTTTTTATCACCGTCATCTGATTTTTCTTTCGAATCATCTTTATTCGATTTAGATTTACCTTGTTTTGGTTCATCTTCATAAAGTTGTTCAATATCATCTTTATATTTTTGTTCAATTGCTTTTCGTTTTAATTTAAGTGCATCAGTAACAAGACCAGTTTCAGGTGTCCAAGCATCGGTTACTACTTTTATACATTTTGGAACTTCAAATCCTTCAATTCCACCTTTTTTACAAGCATCTTGAACTTCTTTAAGTATTGCATCGTTAAATTTTTCATCATCAACTAATTTTTGCCAATCTTTTTCATTAAAATTTTTTTCTGTAAAACTCTATATATGAAAAACAGATGAATTATATTTAATCAATTTGAAAAGAGAAGAATCAATTGGATTTGAATGAAAATCTCGAAAACAAAAGTGTTAAAAGATATATGTTGACTATCTCATCTTGAAATATAATAGTTTCATAAAAGTTATTCTCAAACGATCTCGTATATCAGTTTAAGCTTATGCAAAAAAAAGGTTGTAGATATCTATCAGCTCTCTATAGTAATTTATGTAGTCTACGAACATAATATTCAAATTTATATTTCAGGATTGTTTTTGTTTGAAAATTTCGATAATAATTTGAGTAAACTTACTGCCATTTCCTTAGACTTTGGACAAATTAAAGCAACAGTGTGTTCAGATGAAGATGATGCACATACACAACAATTATCAATAATTGATAATTTATTAATTGCTGTTTCAACTTTGTTTAAAGATACATATTCTCCTCCACGTAATTTAATCAAATCTTTTTTTCGATCTAAATTTATAAAACAAAAAATATTTAATTAAAAATAATAAAAAATAATAAACTAACCAACAATTTTAATTGTTCCATCAGGAAAAATTTCTCCAATATCTCCAGTACAAAAATATCTCGTTCCATTAATTTCTTTAAAATTAACATTTTCTTTTGATGCTTCACCAAAATATTCCTTAGCAACAACTTTTCCACCAATAAGAATTTCTCCTCGTGGATTCGGTTTATCAGTAACTTTAAATTGACCTTCATCCCAATTAACTAAACGAATTTCACATGAAACAAGTGGATATCCTGTACGACCACTTGTTATGTCAAATTCTAATAATAAAAATAAACAAATAAACAAATAAATTCGTTAAAAACATAATTACGATCAGCAATAGTTCCAGCAGCACATGTTTCTGTAAGACCATAACCTTGAAAAACTGTAGCACAAAGTGCAGCTTGAACAAAGCGTTGAGTATCTTCAGCTAAAACAGCACCACCACATAACATTGCTTTAAGTCGACCACCAAGAATCGATTGATTAAAATGAGAAAATATTAATCTAAACAATTTGTTTTTAAATTTCTTTTATTAATAATAATAATAATAATAATAATGGAAAAATTTACCGATTTAGATATGGACTATCGAGACCTGATTCTAAACGTTTAACTTTAATAGCATATGCTAAATAAAATAATTGACGTTTAAAAAAATTTGTTTGATTAATTTTTTCATTAACTGCTTTATGAATACGATCAAGAATTGTCTTAGAAAAATTAAAATGAAAAATAAAATATTGAAAATAAATAATCTTACAGGTACACAAGTCATTAAATGTGGTCGAAGAACTTGCATATCTCCTTTTTGACCATGTTTAACAGCTGTTGATTGGTCAGTTAATGTTTGAGGAGATGAATAACCACATTTTATACCCATATAAAATATTAAAATTTCTATTTTATTATAAACAATTATTATTTGAAATTAGTTATGTTTTTTTTTCAAATAAACAAACCACAACAAAGCTCAAGAATGTGAGCTAACGGTAAATAAGCTATATAAACATCATTGTCAACGTCAATTACTGGAAGAGCACGTTCTTTTTGACCAGTCATTGCAGCAACAATATTTTCGTGTGTTATTGATACTCCTTTAAGATTAAAGCATATTAAATAGAAAATGTGCAACTATTTCAGAAGATCACTAACGAAACACGATAAATATCTTAATTTTGTAATATAATCGTCAAAGTTTTTTCTAAAGTAAGCTTTCAAAATCTTGTTGGAATTTAGTTACAACATTAAACCGCTCTAGATTCAACTTCATCTGAAGTTTTGTAATATTGAATTGGAAAAAGACAAGTACTGTGTTCATAGAGACGGCGTCTAAAAATGAAATGCACTGATGCATCACTTTATAATTTATATTGAAATTTATTTGAACTAAAATTGAAAATCTCATTTATTTTTATTAGGAAAAAACTTGTCAGTACTGCTCCATATAAGATCGGAGGTCGAACTCATAAACTCTGACTGTTATAAATTTCTAGTAAATTGTCAGCTAGATTAAAATAATTTATTTAACAAAAATACCAAATGAATGAATCAATCAAAATGGTAATAATATTTATGGTTAACACGCACGCTCTGAAATGTCATCGTTTTGAAAATGTTTGCATTGAGCATTAATATTCTCTCCTAATGATAATATAAATGATAAATGCCATAGAAAGTAGTAAATATCATTTTATTCTTCGTTTTAACTACCATATTAGCCTGATATATAAATTAATTTAATCATCTAGTAAGCATCCGAGCACACCATACTCTCTCGACGAACTTTAATATATCCTATTGAGTTTTTGCCTAAACTTAGAATTCGATTAGTTCATACGTTCCTATTTTCGTCCTTTTCTGACTCTGCTAGATCAATAATGTCACTGTTCTACTAATTAACACTTACAATAAGATCCTTTCGCCGTATTAAATATCAAAACCCACAATATTTACACTAGTTAGAATTTACAGTAGAAATCTTAGATTCATAGAATACCTTGAAAGATTCTAGAAATTTTCAAAATGATCTAAGCATCTTTATTATGGACACGTCTTTTCCCATGGCTAGAGTGTAGAGGGAAGACTAAGCTTGATCTTTTTAAATGATTAATAAAATTTGTTTTTGCTTTTGTCTAGTGTAAAACAAATAAATTTATGCAGTATCATATATACTTATATCCAAGAGTTGAATCCTCAAAAGAAGAAAGAAAGAGAATTCTGTATTTGTGCATTTTTTCATAATTAAATATGAGAAAATTATCGAAATTTTCTCTGTCGGATATATAATCTATTAAATAAAGAATATAACCTTTTGGTATTCCAGTACTTCCACTAGTATACATAATAACAGCAATATCTTGTTTCTCAGGTCGTTGTTGCAAAATGTAATCATCTAAATTAAATAAGAGAAAAATTATAATAAGACAATCTTTAAAAAAATGCAAATACCAATATATGCATTTTTTCCTTGTTCTTCTAATTTAGCCAGTGGAATATATTGAATATTATTTTTATCTTTTGGTATTTTAGTTGTTTGTGGCTTAGCAAGAGCAGGAAAATAAATAATATGACGAACATTTTTTATGTGATTTGATATATTCTAAACAATGAAAAAAAACAAATATATTTGTTTCTTTTTTTTTCTTGAAAATTTGCTTTTACTTCAAGCTTAGAAGTAAGATCTTGCGAAGTAATAATAATTTTAACTTGTGATTCATTAATTGCATGTTTAGCAGCTTCCTCATTCAATGTCGGTAAAAGTGTAACAAGAGTTAAACCATGTTGAAAAGCAGCAAATGCAGTTAATAACCATTCAGAACGTGTTTCAGAAAAAATTAAAATTTTATCACCTGGTTTTGCATCAAGTGATAAAAGTCCACGACCAATCGCATCAATATGAGCACAAGCTTCTCGATATGTTGTAAATTTATATTCACCCAATATAAACTAAATTTTTTTTTTCTAAATAAATAATTTTGATTAAAATAAACTAAAAGAAAAAACCTTTTTATAAATTTTTCCATTTCGTAGTTTTTCTTCTTCAACATCAAGAATTTCTCTAATACCCATTGTTTCTTTATCAGCATAACGTTTAAGACATAAATCAGGTATAACAGCTAATGTATGCACTTTTTTTTCAAGTTGAGTTTGAAGTTGATCAAGAACTTCAACAGCTCTATATGGTGATGATGGATCATTATCATCAGTTAATTTTGCTCTAATTCTGGTTTGTTTTTCACTTTTACCATCATTTTTTCCTAATGTAATTATATAATTAAAAATTTTTGGTATTTGCACAAATAGAAATGATATTAGATATCCCAATATTGTTTGTATGAATTTTACCAAAGATTTCATCAATATTGTATTTGCTGTTAATATTACTATACGACTAAATGCGTTTGAAGGCATCCTAAATTAACATAGATTTTTTATTCTAAATGATAATGTTGAACGACGGATGAGCAAATATAAGAGGAACCTTATTCTTATCATGGCTTTTATATTTAAAGTAAAAAAGATAGTTTACTTTAGAGAATTAAGAAAAAAAGGATATAATATTCTTTCATACTCATTTAACGAAACATAAAAATAACTTACTTCGTTGTATTTTTCTCTTAAGAAATAATTTGTCTGTACAAGAAAGACTTTAGATCATTCGCCAATAAACAATATCTTGAAAGCAAAAAGAAAATAATATGACAAAGAATATATAAATATTTTATTGCATTTGGTTCAATAAAAAATCCAACCAGGGTCAACAAAACACGTGCATCGTAACGTGACATAGAATAAAAAATGAAAGGAAAAAAAACCACGATATTATGCTTTTCAATAAATACATCGATGAATCAGAGAAAAGGAAGAACAGATAATATTTTATTTCTCATAATTTTGCATAGTAAAATATGACCTTCAGAATCGATAGACATTGTTGATAAACGATTTGTTTTTCTTGCATCATTTGAAAGAATTTTTCTAATAAAATAGAAATTAAAAAAAACTAAAACAAATCAACTTATGATTTAGATTTTAAATAGATGAAAACATTCGTTTTAATGAATCAACAGAATAATGATCAATTCGTAGAGGAAGGTAAGCTAATGTTGATGAGAACTTTGAAAAAAAATCATGAACATGGGTCAATGAGGACACTTTTCTTCGCAATATAGTTTTTGAAAAATTACTGCAGGGTAATAATACACCAATCACAGCCTACAACATGAACATCCTTATTCACCTTTGTTCGACGTTAAGTTTTTTTGCGCCTGTATTCTTATAAGAGAGACGAGAAATATTTTTTGTTTCTTTTTCAAGCAAAAAGCACGCTGGGCGTGGGTCAAGAAAAAGTAATCGACCCCCATCCACATCCGGTTCCAAAAAGTATGCGTCCTATTTGCACACAGAACCAATATCGATAACAGTATACATATGCAGTTCAGTGATACATTTGGTTGTTCTTAATCCATGTGAGAGTGACAAGACGTTTTTATTTTCCGCTCTTCATTCTTGGTGTAAATTAGAAAGATAGAATATTTTAGTTTGTCTATTAATGTTCACTTATCTCTCGTTATTTTCACATCTACGTATTCACACATGTGTTTTGTTCTACATCAATGACTGAAAACTCAAATAAATTGATTGTCGCTGCTAGCGGTACCTATGGTCTTGGCCGTCATATTGTCGATGGTATTTTTGCTAATACTTAAAAAGGATATTTGGAAAGTCTTTAATCATCGCGATTCGTAATCAGTACCTGATTTAATAGACAAAGAAGATGCCATAATTTATTATCACAAATAAGTTGTATATTCGGAGTTATTACTTTGTGTCCATGTATAAATTTGATCAAAGACAGTTGTAGGATTTACTGTTGGTATTTTTATTATGAATTAATGGTATTGATAAAAACAGTAACGATAATAATTTGATATTTTCTGTATTTTTTAATTCGATTTTATCTTATAATTTACACAATGACTATTATATAGAAAACATATTAATATCAATCTTAATATTGATATTTCAGAGAGATTTCGTCGTCATTCCATACAATGAATTTGTACCTTTTTTGCCTGATATTTAGCAGATTTCAGTTAGAAAAATAATGATTTGACCAAAACTAATATCATATTCTGAATCAGCATCAGAAACTGAGTCGACTTATGTACATTTCAATTATTTTTGATATATTTTTTCTTCATCGAAAAACTCATTGTTTAGACATCTGCTAGTTTGTGTTCTACTATCATTTTGCAACCTTAGACTTTGTTTGTCACTGCCGAAATAACTTATTGGTGCAGTTCATTTTTTGACTCAACCCTGAGAAAGTAGGGGTGAATTTTTCGATGAAGAAAAAAATATGTCAAAAATAATTGAAATATACATAACTCGACTCAGTTCCTGATACCGATTCAGAATATGATATTAGTTTTGATCAAATTATCATTCTTCTAACCAAAATCTATTAAATATCAGGCAAAAAAGATGCAAATTCATGTCATGGAATGATGTTTCCCTGTCTTTTTTTGGGCTTTTCTGAAACCTTTTTTTCGAGATCTTGATCAGGATTTTGTAGAACGTGCAATTCTCTACAAGATGCACTATTGAACTGCAATAAGACTTGTTTTACTGATGTAACTTTCATTTGTTTCGTAAGATTATTAAGAAAAAAAACAAACAAGTGGTAGCATTGATTGATTATGAGGTTGAAGAGCGTTTAAAATAAGAAGATGATACAGATATAAATGGCGATCTTTATCGAACCATATTAGAACTTCACTTGATTTATATGATGTTTCGAATTTCTCAATGAAGAATCAGATTCGTCTATCTGACTGACGAAAAAAAACAAGACGAGCTTGATTTGCAAGAGATTCTTTTCTAAGTCTTTGTTATACCTTTTTTATAAATTTTATAAATAAAAAATCGATTTGTCGATTATAAAGTAGATCCTTATTATTAAGTTTTAGTTCTATTTTATCAAGTATTTCAGAAAGTAATCATAATAAGATTTCCATTTGAGAATAGACACCAATGATTTCACTAGTAATGTAACTATGTCTTTATCTACGTTTGATAGAAGTAAACTAGCTTCTATCGATGTTCAAGATTTAAATGTTTCTAATGCATTATCTTCATTTGTTGCTATTATTCAAATAATTACTTTATTGTTTTTATCTATTGTTCAATAAATAAAATACAAGACGATAATTCTTGAAGCCGTTTCGTCGATTCTATCATTGCATGATTGACTGACCCACTCAGCTTTGTGTTTTTTGCTTTATCAATGATTACTATACGAATTCTGATATTTCTCAACATTATAAATAAACCTTATCAAACAGTTAGACATCAATAAAAAAATACAAACTAAAGCCAAAACAAAAAAGTTATTAAAAGAATTAAAAAAAGAAATATTTTGATATTTCAAACTTTTCTTCTTCATGATACTTGATTTTTTTAAAATATTTTTCTTTCTTTACTTCGCATGGCAACATTAAAATGTTTGTGTTTTTTCTTTATTAAAAAAAATGTCACAATTATTAAACTAACGCGGTAAAAGATTATCAAGATCGGCAATAGAAAAAGCATACACAGCCCAAACAGCAGCTGCTAAATCAACATCAGTTGAATTAAGTACGTTCATTGTATCACCCTTTGAATGATGATATGCAAAATAATCCCAATTATCATTAAGAAGTGATGCACCAGGAACTCCATGTTGCACCCATGGATCAATGTCTTCACCGCCACCTCCTGATACCACCTGAGTTGCATTGATTGATGTCAATTGTTTCGATATAGTTTCGATAATCTAATTATAAAATCTTTTCATTAGAAAAAAATCCTTTTTATTTTTAGAAAACTAATTTTCATCCTACTTGTTGTGCTTCAGGTTTGCCTTGAAATTGTAAACCTTGTGGATGAAATACTCCAAGATCTGATTCCATCACAATACTCATTTTCGGTACTTCACTTTCATGAGCATCAAAATATTGATCAGCACCAACACCACCAAATTCTTCACATGACCATAAAACGCAACGTATGGTTCGTTTAGCTCGAATATTTAATGCATGAAGTAAAGAAAGAACAGTCCATGAAATCATTGCACCACCACCATCATCCATAGCTCCTTTAACACAATAAAATTCCTATTTTAATCAAAAAAAGAAAAGAAAAGAAAATAATGAACTATTTACCTTGACCAACATCCCAACTATCTAAATGACCACTAACAAGAACAGTTTCATCAGGTAATGTTGAACCTTGTACTTCAGCTACAAGATTATAACCAATAACATCAGGTAATGTTTGTGCTTCCATATAGAGAAATATTTCCATAGATTGATTCCGTTGTTGAAAACGATCAAGCATATCAGCGTGTTCAACAGAAAGTGATCCAGCTGGAATTTTTGGATATGCTGGATCATATCCCATAACACCTGTATGTGGTGAATCAATTGAACGTGATGCAGCTGATCGACTAAGAGAAGCTAATGCTCCACATTTAGCAGCACGTGATGCTCCAGCAAAACGATAACTAACAACAGAACCATAACAACTAAGTGGTTGGGTTTTCCAATCACATTGAGGATTAAAAACAACAATTTTATTTCGAGCTTCTTCACATCTTACATTTAATTCATCAAATGATCGAACAACAAGTACAGATGCTTGAATACCTTTTGCTCCCGTACCAATTGAATTACCTAAACCAAGCATTGATAATTTTGTATTACGAGGTTGAAGTAATCGAGCATGTTCTTCACCTCGTACCCAATGAGGTATTTGAACTTCTTCGATGTGAACATTATCAAGACCTTCATTAATCATAGCATTTTGTACCCAATCAATAGCTTTAGTTAATGATTCATTTCCACATAAACGCGGACCTATTGTATCAGCTAATGCAGCTAATCGATTATAAGTTACACCACGAAATGCACCATGAGTAACTAATTCAATAATACGATCTGTTATCGCGTTTGAAGATGAATGATCATTAATATTACATGAACGACTAGTTACACTTATTATAGGAAGTATAAGCAATAAGCATAACATCAATTTAGAGCAAAGAAAATTCATCATTATGATATGACAGAAAAAAAAAAGAATTACACTTACTTTCAAGTGATGTCTTGTCACAAAAGAAGTATATTTATTTTATTTTACTTATCTTGACTCTTTATCAAATGTAATAGAATGACTAGGTTATATTTGTTATCAAGCCACAAAAAATAATAAAGTTCGTGATTGTCATTCTCTTCGGACTTTGTTTTAGTGATTATTCAAAAAAAAAATTAAAGTTGATTCTTTTTCCTCAGTTTCTTCAGTTGATGAACAATTGATGAGGAAGTTTCCTTCTGATTTTAATGATTTTTTTGCCTATAGATACTACATAATGTTCTAATAAAAACCCTAAAGGGACTTGAATTCCTATTGAGATTTCAGTAAACTATCGAACGTTTACTATATCTATTTTCTAGAGACTTCAGATTTTTCGAAAACCAGTGTTTTTGAATTTTGATCTGAAACTTTGCTCATATAGAGAACTCAACTAGATTAACTTCCATAAAAATATTCACATTCTTTTCCATGCATAGTGTATACAACATGCAATTTTTTACAAGTTTCATGTCTCGAAGATACTTTGTTCAAAACTTATTCATTTTTATAAGGAAGCTAATCTAGTTGAGTTCTCTATATGTGCAAAGTCCCAGATCGAAATTCGAAAATACGAGTTTTCCAAAAACTTCGAGTCTCTAGAAAACAGACATATTAAAAATTCGATAGCTTACAAGGTAACCACTCGAGATGATACCTCAGTCATTACGTAGGGACTGTTGAGACTTGAAGAAACCTAGAAGGATTGGCTCTCATACGCTCCCCTTTTTGAAGTTATGGCCGTTACACTGGATGTTTTACCTTTGGTACGGTAATTACAAAACAAAACTGGACAAACGAATTTCGGCCTAAAACTTTATCCATAGACAGCTCTGTAATGAACTTCGAACATTAATAAATTATCCGAACTACTACAACTGACACTCACTGTTTGAGCTCGTATTTCAATTCACAAGCAGATCTCAGTGAGACTAGTAAAAACTTTAGACGCTTTCTTCCTACAGGCTTGTGGTGCTGGGTTACGAAAGTTTTATTGGATTTTCGATCCATTTTTAGGTACTTCCAGAAAAATCAAATGATGGAGCTTCGATACAAAGCTTTGTTCAAAGATACCTATATTGACTCTTAGAATATCCTGAAATTTTCAAGTGAATTCGATTATTGTGGCATCTCTGCGATAAAGAACGTTTTTTTGAAAATTCAATATCTTGATGAAAAATAAAACATTCTTTTTCTGCTGAAACTTTCAAGATATTCTAGGAGTCATTAAACCTATCTATAGATAAAATTCTACATCGAAACTCCATGATTTGATTTTTCGAGAACTACCTACAAATGAGTCGACAATCCAGTAAACTGATCATAACGTGACGCCAAAGGTTCATAGGGGCGAACTCTTTTAGGCTTTTCTAGTCTTATCAAGACCTTATTGATGATGAAAAAGGTAAACGAAAAAAAAAAACATTCTTATTTTGATTATGCTTCAAAACGGTAATGTCAGATTTCATGAAATTAAACAAACAACGATATCAGGACCATTGAACCATCCGAAAATCATCTCTTTTTGACAATTTCTAGTCATTCTTGATTTGTTTTTTGTTTAATTCCATGAGATCAGATAGCAGCGTTGATGAGCACAATCAAAACAAAGTTTGGAGGATTCAAGGAAATGAAGCTTCTGCTTGCCAAAGTTCTCTCATCTTTAATGTGCATTTTGAAAAATATTCACAAGCCTATCTAAGACAACAGCAAGAGAAAGAAGGAAAGATGCTGTTTAGCGACGAAATCGATTCCCTCTCGAAATTAAGTTTCATATTTTTAAAAATAGCCAATTCGAAGGTCTGAAGTGGATTACCGTCCCAATTAATCAGTTAGTCCTCATTTTCAGTCGTGCACGGCTAACTTAAAACTCGATATTATCTACCCCTATAAAGTTGTTATGTGCAGTGTTCATTTGAAAATTTTTTCTTCCTCTTTCAACAATTGCAATTTGAGTTGTATACCGAATGAGAGCTCATTCTTTTCGCTATCGAATGGCACATAGGAATATGACGCAATATTCTTTTTTCGTTAGATGGCATTGTTCACTCGTATATACAGCATAAGGGCACCAGGGATCCGTATGGGATTGTCCCATCCAATGAGACGAAAAATATTAGAGAAATATCCCATCCCATTCCATGCAAAGTGTTTTGAAAATATTTCATCCTATGAGATAAACATCTTTTACACATTATTTTTTTATTAAGAACAAAATCGTTTCGAAATAGATGTCTTTCTCGCCTATTTGAGTGAAACAGGTGAGAAAGAATTTTTTTTTTTGCTGTTCTGTAAGTAGTTAAGAAGTGTAACTATTGGAATTCGATAAAACACGTAACAATGAATCAACATATAAAGTTACAACGAAGTTTGATCTATTGTAATATTAATAAATGATTTGATTCTGCTTTTACTTACAATCGATAATATGTCTTCGGATAATTCGTCGTATGCTCTTCAATGTCAATCTGATCAACTTAATTTAATAAACTTGATCACTGTTTTGTCTACTTCTATCATCACTTTATCCTCATATTTTATTGTTGATTCTCCATCAACTGTTAATGACTTCACAACTGGACGAATTACTCGCTTATTAGAAAAAGATCCATTGAATTATAAAGCCATAAAAACCACAAAGAATAAATTATCTTCGTTGTTTTTGGCAGATTTTTGGTTTTCAGCCAACAAATTTTCTATGAAAGAAGAATTTAAACCAATTCCAGACTTTGTCAGTTTCCAATCAGGTTTTCAGTCATATGCGTTTATATCGAGTTCTGGTACATGAGTACTCAGCATACATAGCTGTGCTCAAAAGTTATCTTCTGGTATAAGAAAAAGATCTGCATTGTTAGGTGGTGGTGGTGGAACTCAAATGATATTAGAAACAGTTTATATTCATAGAGCGAATGATATATATTATTTCATTGTGAAAACAAATAAAAGGAATATGAAATTGGTTGTAATAAAAATATGAAATAACAAACGAAATGATGTAAAATTTGGTGAGTATTAATGAAAATGATAGATGTGTTTAGAATTTTTTTTAAAGATATTTGATTAGTGTGAAGTCCCATGAGATGGGATTAGAAGGAAAATTTTCCGTCTAATCCCGTCCCCCATGGGACAAATTTCTTGAAGATAATCCCATAGTATCCCATGCAGAGCACTGAAGCATACCCATGACCAAATTTGTCTCCTATGATACTTTGAAAGTAGCGATCTACTCTTGAATGACATAATATTCGATAGTACTTTTGAAACTCTACAAAATATTGATATTACATCGAGCTTAATTTGCGATTAAGACATTTCATTCAAACGCACAATGTTCGAGAGCACCAAAAATTGTTTCTTTTTGACTAATATTTCATCTGAATAGTTAGATTTTGAATCAAAACAAATGATATATTTGAAATCAGCATAAAAATCTAAATCGATCTATCTACGTCACAAAATGATCCATCAACTTTAATTTTCTTTCAAAAATTCAGCCGTAACCCCCTTACAGATACGTCACAAAATAAGTTCAATCAAAAGAGATATCGAATAGTATGTCATTCAAAGTGGCCATTTAAAGAAAAAAGAATATTGTCTGATATTCACATATGCCATTTTGATAGTGGAACGAATGAGCTTTCATTTGGTATATAATTCAAGTTAGAAATGTTGAAAGAGAAAGAAAACTTTTCCAATGAACGCTGTATACAATAACTCTATAGGAGAGAGATCGTTTGGAGTTTGAAGTTAGCCGGAATGAGTACTAACTGATTACTTCGAACGGCAATCCATTCCTGACAACCGAATAGGTTATTTGGAAAATATGACACTTAATTTCGAGAGAAAGCCTATTTCATCGCTTAACGACGCTTCTCCTTTTAAAAAAACGTTAGAAATGATCAGTAGCGGATCTACGATTTTGGGAAAGGGAGGCAATCATAGTTACAAGACATGTTTTGAAGCCCATTAGAGGTCTAATCCGCTCATTTGTGAGCGGTGTTTGCTAAGAAACATCGAAAAATATTTCTAAATAGAGGAATCACGGCCCTCTAAATCCACCATTGATAATGATACCAGATGATGAAACATAAAAGACACTTTTCGAACTAATGAGTTTAAACGTTTGAATTCGTATACAATAAGTCAAATGTATATTTAAATCCTTTAAACATCGATTCAACAATTTGCTTACAAAAATCAATGTTCTGTGCTTGAAAATTTAAAATATTGTGACCATTGATTTTGAAACTAATTAGTTCGACAATTTTACTCCATATTGATCAATATCATAAGATTAAAAGAGTGTATTTTAATTTTTTTATGTAATTCGAAAAATACAAAATTAATCAAATAAGTATTTTTTTTATTCTTTAGACTTTAGATGAAGTGATGGAATTTTATCTTCATCAACAACTGATCGTTTATGGAAAACAGCTTTTGATCGTCGTGGTGGTACACAATTTCTTAATGTATGCCTATTTAAAAAAGCTGATATGAAAACATTAGAAGATATAAATGATGATGAACAAGATCTAGACACAGTTTCATCTATTGTAAATACACTTATCAATAAAAACTGTTGTTCAAATTGATCAACAAGATGATGAAATCGATGTAGCAGAACGAATTCGAAAATGTCCGTTGACAACATCAATAATAAATTTAGAAAGTGATGCATCACAAATAAAACGATTGCAAAGCAATGCAACTAACGCAAATGTTTCTTTTCAAAATATCATGTCTTTTTCGTTCTTTGTATCAATTCTTGTTTATCATAATTGTAATGTCAAATTAAAAGGCAAAACTTTTGGTTAAAGTAGAAATCAGTATTAAACATCATTGGACTTGTTGGCTTCGTATGATAAATAATAATAGAAAAAAAAACGATTTCAAACAGTCAGTGTTATAAAAAAAAAATGTTTCGTGTACTTTTGTTTCTCTTGCTTTTATTATCTTTTTTATCTTATTCAGATTTGAAGTTTTATTCTTATGAAAAAGTAAAATATAGGTAACATATTCTTTCATCATTAGAAAACAAATGGCCATTGAAGTTGTTGATAGCCATCATCATCTTTGGTCGTTATCACCATCGAATCCTACGAAATATACATGGCTTAAACCTGTTTCTGAAGGTGGTGCATCAGGGCATTTTGCTGGTAATATTGAACTTTTAAAACAAAATTATCTACTTAATGATTATCTTCGTGATACAACAAATCCTTCATGTCGTTTAATTAAATCTGTTCATGTTCAAGCTGAAGCTGATGATCCAATAGAAGAAGTCAAATTTCTTGAACAAGTTTCTAATGGAAATTCTGGTGGATTTCCACATGGTATTGTTGCACATGCAAATTTAACATCACCAGAATTACCAAAATTACTTGAAACATATACACGTAATTATCCACGTGTCAAAGGTGTTCGTCAATTACTTAATTGGTCAACAAAAGATTCTCGTTTATCAATGACTGATCGAGGTGATTATTTAACTGATAAAACGTGGCTTGAAGGTTTTCAACTACTTACATCATATTCATTATCATTTGATTTTCACGTATATCCAACACAAATGATTGATGCATCGAAAGTAGCTCGACAATATCCAAATGCAATACTTATTCTTGATCATTGTGGTTTACCTGGTGATGATAGAAATGATTTTAATAGTTGGAAAGAAGGTATGAAACATATGGCTGAACAATCAAATGTTATTTGTAAATTAAGTGGATTAGTTATGTTTAATCATGCATGGTCAAAAGAACTTTTTGCACCATATATTCTTGAATGTCTACGTTTATTTACACCAAAACGTTGTATGTTTGGATCGAATTTTCCCGTAGATAGATTACATATAACATATGAAGAACTTGTTAATGTTTATCGTGATATTGCAGAAAATGATGCTGGCTTATCAAAAGATGAACTTGAATTAATATTTAAACACAATGCTATTAAAACTTATCGATTATAAATATATTAATGAGGAATTCTTTTTTTTTTAGGATTGATTTTACTATCAAATTGTACTTTATAACATAGTTTGAATTTGTTTACATTTCTACTGATTTTAAATTTCATTATGTTTTTGATTCATTATCGCTTCTCTTTTTCTTTTTAATAATCATCGTATAAATCCTGATCTATTAGTTTTATCCTAAAAGCAAAACGAAAAGTTTTGTTTCCTATTCAAAATACGGGCAAAATTATATTTCCTGCTGGATCGAGTTTATTTTTTAATCGTTTTGTAAATAAAAATTGAAATGAACCAACTTTTTTTTGTATGTCTAGTTCGTCATTGAATTGTGAATAGGTCAAGTTGGTTGACATAAAATCTAAAGGATGTCCCAGAAATACTGAAATGCTTTTAAAATTCATCGTTCTCACATTCAACAAGTCTTTGAAACTTCGACAGATTATTGAAAATGCGTAGTACTACATAACTATAAAGTTTTAGACCTATAGCTTGTACTATACATGAGAACCCATAACAACATTCTCATGTACTATTTTTTCAATTTTCTTATGAATTATATTGATAAAATTCAGTATAAAAATCTGCCAACAATCTCTAGTTTTTATCAATGAATAGTTACAGCTCATCAGACCACAAGTTAGTGATAGACGTAAGACAATATATTTTAGTGATGACGGATATGCAAGATTTATTCAAACTATTGTAATATGAAAAGCAGCTAAAGAATTAGTAATTTGCGAAATGTTATTTTTGAAAATGATCAAGATCATAAACAAAAGGTGACTTTGAATGCCGTTAAACATGTTTTTTTTTATATAAATTGAATTGAATCAAAAAATTGTGTTGCAAAATTAGCTGACGTTTGGTCTATAGAAAATGTTTGGGATGCATTAGAAGAGAAATTATAAGGACGAGAATACAGCAATATTGAACAATCGAAAAATGACACTAAAAAGGAAATGGAACAAATTTAGTGTTTCTTTATGTCAATGAATGATGAATAACATATCAGCACAATAAAAATTAGTAATCGATCAAGGTAGTAATCAAATAAGAGAACATTGATAACTATTGTTGTGTGTTTCTTTTTATTTCAACTAGTAGTAGTTTTTTTTAAACAATAACCAAAATGATCGGGAAAATTGAAAAAAAATAGTACATGATAGTGTTGTTACGGGTTCTCGTGCATAGTACAAGCTATAGACTTGAAACTTTGTAGTTATGTAGTACTAAGCATTTTCAATAATCTGTCAAAATTTCAAAGACTTTGCTTTTGTTGAATGTGAGAACGATGAATTTTAAAATGGTTTCAATATTTCTGAGACACCATTTATATACTTCCACAACATATTGAAATTATTACTAATATTGAGATATATTTTTATTTCCTTCATTGAATTATATCAAATGAGAGGATCATTGTTTTCTTGTGCAAATTTTATATTCAATTTCTGAAGAATAGGAGATTTGAGAATGACAATGCTCAATTGAATCATTTAATCTAACCTAATGGTTATCAATATATAATTCAATCATGACTTAGAGAACGATATTCCAATGATTAATACTTTTGTTTTCTTATTATTTTATATCTGTATATTCAAAATATATCCAAATTCTGTACAAAGAAAGAATAAATACAAAAGATCGTCTTTGAATTAACTCATTGACTATCAAGTTGATTTTTTTAATGTTAATAAGAATATTTCTCGATTAAAATTAACGATGAACATAGCGAAATGAATTTTGAATGCATTAAGTAATTCGCAAAATTAATTTGACAACAATCAGATTTTCCTCAGTTAAGATATTTTGATATCCATGAGAGAAAAAAAAATAAACAAAATTATTATCTTTTTTATTTTTTAATCTTATTTATTCTTCTCCACTCAAAACAATTGTTAATGATGATAATAATAACAATAATAATTTCCTTGAATCGATCGATATAAATCATTTCGATCGACTATCGCATAGTTGTTTATATGCGTGAAGGATACAGCATCTATAAAGCAAGAAAAAAACAATTTCAATACAGCAATAAAATTACATCGAATATTTACCACTCGAATTCGTCGTCCAATAGCTTTTGGTGGTAAATTACGACGAAATTTAGCACGTACACCACCACTTTTACCATGGGCTCGTGTTACTTTACCCCAAATAATACGAACACGATTTAAACGTTTTTGACCGGGCACTAAAGTTTTACTGGAATACAAAAAAAAAACATATTATTTTAAACTTGAAAACAATATATTAAGTTTACTTTTTAGCCTTGTATACGTAGGCACAACGTTTACCCAAATAAAAGTTTGTCTCACGTCGCGTATTGACGCCATCGAGTTTAAGTAAAGCAGTATTTTCATGTTGATTACGTTTACCACGTCGAAAGCCAGTGAATACTGCTTTTACATAGAGACTAATAACAAAAGAAAAAAGTATATATAGATTAAAAGATGACAATTGTGTCTTAATTATATCATACCGGCCTTTTTTTATGTAAGCACCTTGTGGTTTTTCAACTTTCTTTGATGATGTCATCGTCAAAGATAGATAATTAAATCTAAACGAAAATCATTATAGAAAAAACAAGATATCTTTATAATTCGAAAGACGAATAAACTGATTTTTTTTCTTTCGAATTAGTAAAGGAAAATAAACAAAATAAATAAAGATTTCTCATTGGTTAAACATAAAACCATTACGCATAATCTTTTCATTACTAATTATATGATATATTTTATTGTTTTATATGTTTTATTTTATTTACAATAAATCTTTCGAAATTTTTGACAGTATTATTTTCAAAAGAAATTTTATTATCTTCATTTCAATTGGTTTAAACAATATCCAATCATAAGAATGATGTATCCTAGAAACAATGTGATACGTTAGCAGTGTAATTGTCTTTTCTTTGAAATCCAAAGTTCGATGAAGATCATAATTGCACCAAATATCAACAAAAAAAATGTCCTAAAAGTCATTGTGAAATTTCTATGAATAGATACGATAAAATTCTTCTGCCCGAATTTGATTGCAGTCACTACTCGATGATTTTGAATCTTAGCAAAATTCTACTGAAATTGTTTCAAATTATCATTGTCACAAGATTATACAATTCAAGAGGCTTGATGAAAAGTTAGAGCAGAAGTATCCCAAGATCGCAAGGATCGTGGAGGAAGAGGGGCGATGATTCAGAAGCTCTATTGGAAGATTATTGCTAAAATTGACCGAGTTTTGGGGGAGAGAAGGTGATTTCCAACCTCTCACGCTCGAGATTCCCCAGCTTCTCAGCATCTTCTTTAATTAATTGAAGTTAATAATCGGATTATAGTCCGAACAATTAAAAGTACGACTTAGAATTTTACTTTTTTTTTATTTCATTATTGTGTTGTTTTGTTTTTATATACTATAGCCTGATATAGATTGGTCATATATTTACTATTATAATCCTATAGTGATCCTCTACCTATACTGTATACTTGAATTTTTATCTTTGTGTATATTTGTATATATAAATTCAACTGTAGTGATTTTCAACATTTGATTTTCACTTGCACATTACACTTTGTTTCACATATTTTTTTTATCGCACGTATACATGACACTGTGTGCTAATATATTGCCGGATAACTTTTAATATGACGCAGTCTTTCTTGTATTATAACATATAGAGTTGACCTGTTCGTATAGAGAGACCATAGCCACTATACCTTCAGGTGAGCTCTATATGGCATAATACAAGAAAGAAAGCGTAATTTTAAAAGTTATCCGACAATATATTAGTACATAGTGTCATGTATACGTGCGATAAAAAAAAATATGTGAAACAAAGTGTAATGTGCAAATGAAAATCAAATGTTGAAAATCACTACAGTTGAATTTATATATACACATACACATAAAGATAAAAATTTAAGATATACAGTATAGGTAGAGGACCACTATAAGATTATCGTAGTAAATACATGGCCAATCTATATCAGTTTATAGTATATAAAAACAAAACAATACATAATCATGAAATTAAAAAAAAGTATAATTCTAAGTCGTACTTTTAATTGTTCGGACTATAGTAAAAACTCGTAACGGTTCCAAAATATTGCTGAAAAAAGTATGCTGATAATCAAAAACATTGCTTTATTCGTTTTACCAGAGGCAAACAAGAAGATATTGTTGAGAACAAAAATTGATCATTTCTTGTCTCAGTCAGCTATTTCTGTCCGGTCTTGCCAAAGACTATATCTATTATATCATAGATTATTGACATATTAACAAAAATAAGTGACTATATTATTTAGATTTCGTAATCAAAATGTCTTTGCGATTAATATTGAATGCTAAGCGAAATTCTTTCAGAAGGTTTGATATGTATATATTCTTTCTTTCCATCGTTTCTGATTTTTTATTTCAAGTTTACAATGCGCGCGAACTATCTCAATTGATTTTCTTATATGGTTTTAGAAATATTTCACTTAAATGTTCTGTCCACAATAATGTTCGATTAATATTTTGTTTATCAATTAAACCAATATAACGAATAAAATAAAGTGTTGAACAAAGACAATCCTAGATTGCAATTAAATCTGATCGAAGATCATTTGGTAAACGACATAGATAATCCAATAATTGAAATAATGATATTTCATTATAAATTTCACTTGATGATGATCATCATCAATAATCAAAAATAAATTCATCTTTAACTAATTTACAAAGAAATGTTCGATAAGAATCTTGCCCAGGTCCAATAAAACGGCGTCGTAAACGGCCTGAAACGGCTATAAAACGGCGATTAACGATGTAAAACGTCGATAAACGGCACCGTAATCCGTCATACCAGATTACGGAAGCAAAACCGGAAAAAAACGACCGCCGTTTTCTAGCGATAGACGGTGGTCGTAATACGATATGACGGATTACGGCGAAATAAGGCCAAAATTACTGCAGTAATTCGCCGTTTTATAGTCGTTTCAGGTCGGATACGACGCCGTTTCCGACGACCGGAATGATCCACCTGGGTGAGCATAAATTGTTTTAGCTAATTGTTGTCGAAGAAAATTATAATAACTAAGAGGATTAAATGATCGAAATAATAAATGATATGCACCAATTGTGAATGGTGTATATTGTCGAGCAGATTATTCAACCATTAATATTCTTAATACGTCGATCAAGGCATGAATATGATTATTATATAATATTGTTTGATCAAATTCTTTATTTGATGTTAAACATGAATAACTGTTTGAAATAAGTCCGTAGGCTTTTTCTATTAACATAACTCGTTGGCGATTATTATTTAATTGTTGCATAGATGGTATACTAACAAGAATATTAAATAATGGTGAACAAAGACATGGTAATAATGAAAAATAATCATTTTATTGTTAAAAGTAAACAAATAAAAAGAGATTATGGTTCTTTACTATCGATTGATTGAATTAGATTTTGATTAAGTGTAAATAGACAATATAATAATGGACGAATTGGTATAAATGATAAAATTTGTTAGAATCATGATTAAATATCCGTAAATCATTACCTAGAAAGAAAATATTCATTTTCTTTTTATAATCAATGATCCAAGAAATATAGAAAATTATTGTTAATTGTTTGTAATTCAAACGTAGTTAAATGAGATTGTAATAATGAAAGAATATCAGGGTGTGGATGTGGAGTGGGGTGTGATTTAGAAGATCCCACACCCACACTCCCATACCCACACCCACATCCCGCCCACACCCCCCACTCCACCCACACGCTGTCTGAACATTCATATGCAGATAAAAAAAGAGAATTTTTGTCAAGTAGATTAAAATATAGAACAAATCTGTCCTTTTGTTGAATTCAATGTACTAGACGAAATAGAATTGTTGAGAAATTTCTATTTTTATATGAAAGATGTTCGTTTTACTTTAAAGTGAAATAAACACACTCAAAATGTTTTGAGTGTAGGTGTGCATGTTGGTGTGAATGTGGGTACGCGTGT